CCAAGCCATTAAATCACTGATACCCGTCCAAAAACGCCCAAAACTCGGCCCAAAAATACGGTCCAGTCCCCCATAACCCAAAACGATATAGTTTGGTCCCCAATTAATCTCATCCGTCTAGGTTGTTTAATCCAACGGATGAGAAGCCTAGATCAAAAAATATATAAGTGTCCGAACATACCCTACCCCCCTCAGAACCCCCTCCCCCTCGTGTCTCTCACCAAACCCTAATTTCGCCCTGAGCCGCCGTCTGCCGCCGGTTGGAAATCGCCTCCGCCGGCGGCGATTGTCCAATGGCCCTCAAATTCACACCAGAGCCTTATCTTCACCTCCTCATCATCGATCCACCATCATTTCCCCTCAAAACCTACCGAAACTCCCCCAAATCCCGAAACCCTAGCGCCGCCATGGACTCCTCCGCCGTGTCCGGCGGCGCCACCACCCAACCACCACCAAATTGACACCCTTGAACCCTCGTCTCCCCCTAATTCCAAATTCGCACTCCTTTTCCTACAAATATTCCCCAAATCTCTCGAATTTCGAATCAAAATTAAGCCCTAAGAGTTCAACTTGGATTCTGAATTTGCGAGGCTTCTCCTCTAGTCTTCGCGAGTTTAGGCTCAATTTCACCATGGGATAATGTCATTTGACTGTTCTTGACAAAGAACAGTTGATTGACATTATCTCGCGGTTGAAATTGGACGGTCAGTCGTGTTCGGGTTTAATTGGTAAGTTTTCATAGTTTTATTTTTGTTTATTTCACCTTGTATGTGAATTTTAATCTAGTTTGTGCATTGATGTTTGCTTGCTCAATGTTCTTAGATTTTGTTTCAAATTTCTGATTTTTTTTCTCCTTGTTCGTACTGATATAGCATGATTCTGTGTTATTGATTAATTTTCTTTGTTTCTTTGTTTTCTGTTTGACTGATGATTGATAGTAGTAGTTTTCAATTCGGAGTTCAGTAGTTAATTCAAGCCTAAATTAGGGTTGTTTGGATTTGTATTCAAATTTTGGGGGTTTTGTTATAATTGAATGTCGTTTGGTTATTACTGAATAATTCCAAGCCCTTGTAGGTAACTATGGTCATCATTGACCAAGTTAAAAGGGCTGATGTAGTTAGACTTGGGGTTAGTTTAACCTAGGTTAGTAATTTCAGGGGTAAAATCAAGGGTAATTGGGGTAATTTAATTAAGGAATCCTGCAGTAACTGAAAGTAGAAGCCCCTAGAACCTTCTAGATTGGGGTTCCAATTTGAATTTCAGATATTGAGTAGTATAACTTGGGTAACAAGTCAGTACCCTAAGGATTTTTAAGCACAAAAGCTAAAATTAAGAGGGGGCTAAGGTGTAAAGTAAAAATCTGAAATTGCCCTAATTGTTTGCCTATAAAAGGCAGTACACCCTTGCCTTGCAAAAAAAAAAACGGGGGGGGGGGGGGAGAAGCTAGGTGTTTTGAAATTGGGAAAATCTGAGAAGAAAAAGTTTTGAAATCTGAAAGTTTGAGAGAAGTTTTGAGAGCCAAAGTTTGCAGAGTTTAAAATCTTAGTGCCTAGATTTTGAGAGATAAATTCATGGATTCTAAGAGCAAAAAAATGCAAAAATTTTCACTGTTTTACTGAAATTCCACAAAATCCTTTAAGTCTTCCTTCTGAAATCATCCTTGAATAGCTGAACGTTAGGATGAGTTGAATTTGCGTGGGTGTTTCAGCTTGATTGGATCAGTTTTTGGCTGGATTTTCAATTACTAGGTGTTGTTGATTGTTGTGGATTCAAACTTAGTCTTAGTGATTAATCCTAGGTTGATTTGGCTGCTGAAACACTGTGTTCTGCTCGCTTGCTATTGCTGATCACCATCCTTGTTTTTCTCTCAAATTTTCAGGTACATTGTAGCTCATAATAGCAGGATGATTGTTGAACATGTAGTAAATTTGCAGTTCTGCATGATGAGATGCCGTTTGGAGCTTGATTTCTTTATGCCTTCTATTTGTTCTTATTCTTAGTTAAATTAAAAGCCATGGACATTTGAAATATTGAATTTGAAATGCATAAATAATTTGATGTGTTACTTTTAAGATCTGTACGAGTAAACATTGGACTTTGTCAATTCATTTTCATGTTTCGTGCCATTTCAATTCGAATTTGTTTAAATTTAATAATTCAGGTTGAGCTGGACTGTTAAACGTGTTTTTTTCCAGAATCATGTTTAGGCTTAAAAATAACAAGTAGCATTGTTAGCTTAATTGTTTTAGGTTGATATTCATTCAAAGTTTGCTTGGTTCCAAATTCATTTTCAGTAATGGTTTGTTTGCTCGAATTAAGGCATATGTATCCATTACCAGGCAATACTGTTAATTATGAAGGTGTTTATGGCTATATGCGCTGGATCTAGGATCGATCTAACACTTGACTCGAAAACAGACCTCCTTTGAATTGGGCATGTTTCGAGCCCGGGCTTTGCTTTGATCCATGCTGAAGATATTCTTACTGGACTTGACCCATTTAACATTAAATCTGATCCTGTTATTGCAAATATTTGGCACCTGGGCCTCTGAACAGTGTGCCTGTGCGTGCCTTATCTTAACGAATTAGGCTCCTCATTGAGCCCGTGGTCCTGGAAAACCTGGACAGGCGTTTCCTCTTGATTAATGGACCGTAGTCTGCTTCTTTTGAATCTAGTCCACTTGTCCAGAATAAATAGTTTCTCCTACAACAAGTTTCTTAATTAATTAGCCTTTAACCATTTTAATATCAATTATGTGAACCCTTTGATCAGAATAGGAGTTGAGCCTTAATAGATAATAATAACTCATGGACTTTCCGAATATTAGCTATAATGTCTTTAAAAATGAAATTGAGATGCGCCGCGCCAAACAAAAATAACAAATTGCGCGACCCTCTGTAATTACTTCCATTAAAATACTTAGAGCTCGGGAAGTGCCATTTAGTGAATTTTCATGGCCTCCCGCAAAGTTATCAACACGTTAGTCGCTTTAGGCGCGTAATTTAATAATCTATTTTCCTAAATTCGGGTGCACATTTATGTGACCCAAATCCAAATCTCAACGATGTTGAAATATGTCAAAAATCACGGGTGCATTTATGTGACGTGGTTCGAGACGTGTTTTAATAACGTTGCAATTCTCCTTAAAATTACTTTAAAATGGTAAATAATTTAAAATTGCACTATAGGTTGAAACACGTATTAAAATCAGGTAATGGCCAATTATGATAGTTTAAGCGACCCTGCTAAAACCACGGAATCCGGCGGTGCCTAACACCTTCCCCCGGGTTAACGCAATTCCTTACTCAAGAATTTCTGGTTCGCAGACTTCACTTGGAAAGTCGAAAATTTCCTCGATTTGGGATTCAAAAATAAACCGGTGACTTGGGACACCAAATAAATTATCCCGAGTGGCGACTCTGATCAATAAATAATCACATTTCGAATAATGTCACTTAAATTGGAAAAACTCCCTTATACACTATCCTTCGGGGTGGCATGTAAAAAGAAGGTGTGACAGATACGGGAAGCGAGACTCAGATGTTTCGGGCATGTACAGAGGAGAAGCCCATATGCGCAGGTGAGGAGGTGTGAGCGACTGACTTTGGATGGCACGAGAAGAGGTAGAAGGCGACCTAAGAAATATTAAAGAGAGGTAATCAGGTAGGACATGGCGTGACTTTAGATTTTTGAGGACATGCCCCTTTATAGGAGCTGTGAAGGTCGAGTATTAGGGTTGTAGGGTAGGAGGTAGTTGAGCCTATTTCTACTTCGTAACTATGTGAGGCTAGTCTGGTAGGATTTTTGTCTTAGACTGCTAATGGTTAATGATGTGTTCTCACTATTCTTTCATTTTCATAGTGCCGGGTCTATTTACCGGTTATCACTATTGCTTTTCATCTATTTTCTGATTTTCACAATGTTGTTATTATTCATTGGTTTCTGTTGATGATACTGATATGTTGTCTCTTTTCTCTTTTCGTCTTCTTGAGCCGAGAATCTTTCGGAAACAACATCTCTATTCCCTTTGGGTAGGGGTAAGGTTTGCGCACACACTACTCTCCCCAGACTCCACTAGAGGAATTTTAATGGGCCGTTGTTGTTATTGTTGTTGTTGTTACTAGTTAAACTACATCAAATAAATTGAAATGAATATCACAAAAACGAAACACATAAGCACTACAATTCTGATGGCATAGTAAATACCCTTCCATCTTTAACCATAGGCCTTGGATTCGATCTTGAAAACAAAGTCATCTTTGATAGGAAGTGATTTATTCTAAAGCGAACTTTTTGAATTCGAATTAATCACCCAAAAGAGTTATTGAACACCAGGTGAGAAATAAAAAAAGAGATCTGTATATAAACAGCCGATTGGATTCATTATTTACTTTTTTTAGTTGGTATACATAGATTATATATTGATTATACACTAATATACACAAGATTATGCACATATTACATAAGTTACACTCCATCCATTTCAATTTATGTGAAAGTATTTGACTGTGTACGGAGTTTAAGAAATAGAGAAGACTTTGGAATTGGTGTAAAATGAGGCACATATATTTCGTATGACTATATATCGTTGCATAAAGGTAAATTATTTTCAAATAAGCTAAGTGGTCATTGTCTTTGGCACAGACTAAAAAGAAAATAAGTTCACATAAATTGAAAACAATGGAGTATATATATTATATATCCATGGAGGGAGTATATATATATACTAGTATATATATATATATATACTAGTCTCTATGTTCGTGCTTTGCACGAATTATATCTTGCTTCAAATATTATGAAATGTGTACCTAAAATATATAACTTTTAATTGCATATATATTCTAGAAAATAAATATATTATATATTCACTGACTATTTTTAATTCAAGCGATTAAATAGGTTAATTCTTGATAAATAAACAAAAATCTCCATACCTTTCTTTTAGCCAACCAATTGCAACATGTACACGTTTCCATCATATGCAACAACCATTGCAGCTTTCTATCAGCACAACAAACGAAAACATAAATCATGTGCACAACACTGCAACAAACAATAGTACCACTTACGTTAACAAATCATAATTGACCCCCATCTTCTTGGCCAATAAGGCCTCTATTTTCAAGAATTTAACAAAAACAGTGAAAAAAAATACCTTCTTTATATATCCCCTTATACTCCATTTCTCTAAAAATCCTACCAAGAAATGTCAAATCTCAAGTGGGGTTTTCTTGTTTTTGCTCTATTTTTCATTACTGAGGTTCATTTTGGTAGTTGTTTTGTAGAGCCAAATGTAGTACAAAAGCAATTGGATAAAGTTACTAAGCTTCCTGGTCAAGGGTTTAATGTGAACTTTGAAAATTATGCTGGTTATGTTACTGTAAATGAAGAATCTGAAAGAGCTCTCTTTTATTGGTTCTTTGAAGCTGTTGATGAACCATCTTCAAAACCTCTTGTTCTTTGGCTTAATGGAGGTTTGATTAATAACTCATCCTCAAGTTTTGCTCTTTTTTTGTTTTATTGCATTCTTGTTACATTTTCTAGTACTATTTTAGCTTGTGTTACATTTTCCGATAGCCGAAGGTCTATCAAAAACAACCTCACTATCTTTATAAGGTAGGGGTAAAGTCTAGGTATACACTACCCTCTCCGGACCCCACTTATGGTATTACAATGGGTTTGTTGTTGTTGTATTTTAGCTTGTGTTAGGTTGGTTTTGGTTGGTTTGTTGATTCTTATGTTGTATATACCAAACATTGAAGAGCAGTGGGGGAGCTAGGTTGTAGAAAGAGGGGATTTGTTGAAAAAATATACTGTGCAAACAGGGTAATGATGAATTCATTTTTCGGTTATATATAAGTTGTTCAATCCCTTGACATAAAAGAAAATGCTAGTGAAGTGGCAAAGGTAAAAAAATGGCTATTTTTGCATTCTTGTTACATTTTCTTGTTTTCTTTTAGTTCATGTTAGGTTGGTTTTGGTTGTTTTTTTGATTCTTATGTTGTATATAACAAAAATTGAAGAGCAGTGACGGAGATAGGTTGAAGAAAGAAGGGATTTATTGAAATATTATATTGTGTAAATAGGGAAAAAATTAAATTTTTTGTTACATATAAGCTGTTGAATCTCTTGAAAAAAGAGAAAATTCTAGTGAAATGGAAAAGGGGTTCAAAAATTGCAACTTTTGAATCGCCTTGTGTTAGGTTGGTTTTGGTTGTTTTGTTGTATATAGCAAAAATCGAAGAGCAGTGGTGGAGCTAGGTTGAAGAAAGAAGGGATTTGCTGAAAAATTATACTGTTCAAATAGGGCAAAAGCGATTTCTTTTTTTATATATATGACGTTGAATCCCTTTACATAAGAGAAAATTCTAGTGAAGTGGCAAAGAGGTTAAAAGATTGCTACTTTTGAGTCCCTTTGTATAAATTCCTGGCTCCGCCACTATTGGAGAAGTCATCAATTGCCGTATGCTTGAAGTTGAATTATCATTTTCCTCTTACAAAGATTTATTAAATGAATATTTCTTGGTTGCTCAATGTGGTCGATTGTGCCAAATGATTTGTTCTCACTGATTATGAGTTCTTGCACGGCCGGGATTTATTAAATGAATATTTCTTGGTTGCTCAATGTGGTCGATTGTGCCAAATGATTTGTTCTCACTGATTATGGGTTCTTGCAGGGCCGGGATGTTCATCGATTGCCTTTGGGTTAGCTGAGGAACTTGGGCCTTTTCATATTGAGAAAGATGGGAAGACCCTTTATTGGAATCCTTACTCTTGGAACTTAGGTATGTTTCTCAATACCCCTTCTTTCTTGCTATAAAAAGTTATGCCACTTCTGAGGGCTTTTGCATTTCTAAGGTCGCTCCTCAAAATGTCATTTGATGTATAATATACATTAATGAGGCCCCTTCATGCCATTCACTTCAGCATTTTCGACCTTAATATAAAAACTTCAGCAATTTGGAAACACAGAAAAAGTATCTGCGCTTATAGTTCTCATATTTCGCATGTGCTTATAAATGGTCCAATCTGATAATAAAGGAGACTCTCTCATGGATTTGTTTTTTCTATTATCGAGAAAGCTTAAATGTACATTGTCAGAGAATCAAGGCATGTTCTGTTCTTCCTCTCTCTAAGGGCTATGGTGTTCCATTTCATGTGAAGTGGGATATAAAATGTTTTCTGGTGGTATCTTCTTTTTGATTTGATACAAACAGGTTCTTGCAACGGTTATATTTGTAAATTTTAGGGGAAAGGACTAATATTTTTTTTTTGGGGGGGGGGGGGGGGTGGCGAATACCAACTTCCTTGAGCTAGTACTGCTGTCTATACGATTGTCTTCTTGTTACTGCTGTCTACACGATTGTCTTGGTTTTGGTATTCAACGGTATTCAAAGAACGGTAAAAGGATTCTACTCTTATTGTACCGGGTAAATCAGTGATGCCATTAGGCATTGATGAACCATGATTTCAATTTTGAGTTTGATTAGTTTATATACAGATTCTTTGACCCCAAAATTTCACCTTGCCCGACTTAAGTAGTTATTGACAACCTAGTGTTTCTTCGAACAATTTTAAAAGGAGCAAACACTAAATTTGCATGATCACAAGCAGGATTAAGTCATCACCCTGTAGTGCATAAACTCACCAGATATATCCACGTGCTGCTACATTTTTACCCTGAGACACATTGCTTCCGAAGTATGTATAAGTTTGCACATAATTTCGGGAAGCAACGGTTTAGGAACTTATCAGGATGGAGTCTGACTCGATATCTGTTTCTGCAGCTGCAAACCTGTTATTTCTTGACTCTCCTGTTGGAGTTGGTTATTCCTATTCAAACACTTCGTCTGATCATCTCAACAATGGTGACGCTCGGACAGGTAATAGTTTGACCTTTTAAGTTATTTCCCTGAGGTTATCATTCATATATTTCTGTATATATGTATTAAATTTCCTTCAATTGTTGCATTACAGCTGCGGATTCCCTTGCATTTTTACTGAAGTGGCTTGAACGATTTCCAGAATATAAAGGAAGAGACTTTTATATTACAGGAGAGAGCTATGCTGGTAAAATTAATTTTCTAAGCTTCCTGTGAAATTTCTATTTCTAATCATTTTCTGGTTAGCTGTATTCCGTGCAATATGATTAGATACCCTAGTCGATTGATGGGTGACCAAATTTATCGGGTGCATTGCAGCAAAATAAGTAGCTGGTCATCAAGATAAAATTACATGTCTCGTATGCTTACAGAGGAAATTCTTAAATATTTCAGGAATTCGATTGCTTGTATATATTAATATGTAGATGGAGTCGTAAATATCCTTTACTAGCTAACAACTCACTAATTGATGTCATTTGCCCGATGCCCTAATTGACAGTACAGATTCAAGTACTGGTTTGTCTTGCTTGCCTAAAGGGTGGATAGAAAGTTTATAAATCCCTATTTCAAACAACTAAGTAATATAATTTACGTTACGCCAAATCTTGGGCATAAGCATCGCTTTGAGTTGATTGATTTCAAGTTGTTCGTTGACAATTCACCACACTGCCACTAACCTTATACTAGGTAGTGTTATTATTGTTGTCTGTTTTTGATAAATATCTTTCTGCATATGATTTACTGCGGCCAATACTTTTCAATATTCAAAGATGTTAGGATGACAGCAAGAATCTAGCCTCTAAACATTCTGCTTATTTTAAAAATAACAAATCTAGCACCCAAGGGCGTAGCCTAGTGGTCAATGAAGTGGATGAGAATTATGAGGTCTCGGGTTCAAATCCCAACGGAGGCAAAAAACACTAGGTGATTCCTTCCCATCTATCCAAGCCTTGGTGGGTGGATAGAGGTATCTGTTGCCGGTGGAGGTGGCATGTGTCCCGTGGAATTAGTCGAGGTGCGCGCAAGCTAGCCCGAACACCACGGTTATCAAAAAAAAAAATCTAGCCTCTCTACATTTGATTGGAACTTATGCAAGCAACAATGTTTCCTTGAAAAGTTCTGCTTCTTTTCTGTTTGTTTTCTTGAGTAGCTCATTTCAATTACTGAAACAACTTTGGTCAACTTAATTCTGATTGTGGACCAGGGCATTATGTTCCTCAGCTTAGTCAAGCTATTGTGAGGTACAACAAGGGTGTAAAGAAGCAAGTAATCAACTTAAAAGGTTTCATGGTACGCACGTCTGTTTCTCAACTCAATGCACACATATAAGATTATCAAAGACGAATCATTTGCGTTTGTGTAGTTTAGTACTAATACAAGGTAATGAGAATTGCAGGTTGGAAATGCTTTGACCGATGACTATCATGACCACCTAGGACTATTTCAATTCATGTGGTCAGCTGGAATGATTTCCGACCAAACATTCAAGCAGGCGAATGCTTTGTGCGACTTCCAATCATTTATAAGACCCTCAGAGCAGTGTGATAAGATTCTCGATCAGGCTAGTGAAGAAGTTGGAAATATTGATAGCTACAGCATCTTCACTCCAACATGCACAGCCAAGTTTAGTATACTAAACCACTTGCTCAAAAGGAGCAACGTAAGTGACTAGAACTTTACTCTCGCATTAAGTTCAATGATAAATGTTTAACTCTATTCACTTAATGTTAGTTGTCATGGTTGTTTTAGAGTGCTAATGTTAATGAATCCTAGTATCAGGGAAGTCTAAGTATCAATTAATATTTTTCAAAGGAATGAGTTTTGGACGTAGTGCAAGTAAAGGACAGATTACAGTGATGAGGTGAATATCTTTGGAGGACGTCTTTTACTCACATCTATCAAAATTTCAAAGCACTGTACTTGCTTTTTGTTTATCTGTTCTTTTATGTCATTGTCAAATGTTGTCAGTGTATTCGATTAGAAGAAGAGTTATGGCATGACAAGAAGTGAGAGCCACTTCTTAGTTCTTACAGATGTTGTAGAAAAGTGATAACCATGTGAGTACTGTTAATGGCTTAACTCAAACAAAAGTTTGACGTCAGTATAATTAATATGCAAAACTCAGAAGAGCGAGATTTATGACTTTGGCAAGAGTTAGACTTGTCCTTTGTTGAGTCCCACATCGACAATGAAGGGGATGGGTAGTCTCCTTATATGGACTTTGGCAATCCTTACCTCTTGAGCTAGCTTTTGGGGTTGAGTTAGGCCCAAGGTCAATTTATCATGGTATCAGAGCAGGACCCATCCCGGTTTTCCGATGTTGGGCCCCCATAATTGTCCACGCTCCAGATGTCCAGTCCTGGGAGTGAGAGGGGGTGTTGAGTCCCACATCGACAATGAAGGGGATGGATCCTCACCTCTTGAGCTAGCTTTTGGGGTTGAGTTAGGCCCAAGTTCCATTTATCATCCTTTATGGAATATCCTAATGGGGAAGATAGAAATGGTTTACGTCATCAAAATTGGTGTTCCAAACTGCTAATGTACGATATTTTTGGGATTTGGTACTCATTTGCCAAGCTTTTAGAGGTCATTGCCTGCCTATAATTGTGAAGGCGATGGACTGGAATAGTAAATTATCATTAAATCATACTTTCTTCTATTTTATTTCCATTTTCCTGTATGATGATTGAGATATTATCAATATGCTATCTTTTTAGTATAGACCTCTTAAATTTGATGACAATATAATTCTTGAACTTGAATACCATGCTGAATAGAACAGGAGATTAAAATGTTGAAAAAGATTTAACCAGCACTATTTTGTTCACTGATAAAATTTCATGCCGTTAAATAGAGGGTGGGCCATCTCAGAAGAAGCTACGATCCATGTACAGAGCAGCACTCCGTGATTTACTTCAATCTTCCTGAAGTTCAGGAGGCTCTTCATGTTCGTAAGAGAAACTCATCATTCAAATGGGTAACTTGCAGGTATTTCATTTTGTTCATTTAGTGGATATCTCCTCAAAGATCTAGGGGGATACCGAGTTGCAATCTTGTAGCTACCCCAAAGTTGGTATCTGGAACAAATGAAATTTTAGCAGGCTACCACAAGAGAAGATTTCTCAATCTGATTTCAATGAAAAAAGAAGTGTATATATATATATACATATCTGTGGAATATGAGGTCATCGTGTTAGTGGATTTGTATGCTGGTGCTATGAGACCGATTTGCCACATAAATATATTTGTTGACAACTCTTGCATTCTATAAAAAAGGGCTGTCCGATGCACTAAGTTCCCGCGGTGTCCGGGGAAGGGCCGGACCACAAGGGTCTATAGTACGCAGTCTTACCCTGCATTTTTGCAAGAGGCTGTTTCCACGGCTCGAACCCGTGACCTCCTGGTCACATGGCAGCAACTCCTGCATTCTATATTAGAAGTAATTGAATCACAGGGCAAAAATAGGACATAAAAAGAATTCTCATCCCATGTATTGTTATTGTCTACCTTCCCGAAACAACAACAGTGAGCCAGTTTCTCTTCTTCTCCAGCTCCTGCTCATTGAGAATAGCAGCAACCTCACTATTTCTTCTCTTCTTTGGCAGCAAGTTACTTTTTTCATTACTTTTATCTCTTTTTCCTCGTTCTTTCATTGCCATCCCCATACATAACAAAACAAAACTAGAAGAAAGAAAAAGCTGAAAGTCTGTGTGAAAAAAAGATGTTGAAGAGGATCTCGTGTATTTTCCTTACTGTATAAGAGTCAAAATGCATTATTGTTTAGGTTAATCCTCCTTTGTCTTTCAATTCTGAATGTCTTATACTAGGTAGCGCTATATATTTACTCATTTGCCCTACTTGCAGTGAAGAAGTATCCAGTGGTTGGAAGGATTCTCCCAAGTCAGTGCTGGATGTCTATCGTGAACTGATACAGTCAGGCCTTCGTATTTGGGTTTTCAGGTGTGCTTTAATCCTAATACGAAGCTTTTTCTTTCTCTTCTCATGTTTACTTGTGAGTTTTGAGAACATTGAGATTTTAGGATGTAAGAAAAAAGCCAGATGAATATTGAATGAGTAAAAATCTAGTTCCATGATCTGGTCTGAATGATTACACGTTTAGCACAATTTTTATCCAACATCAAATTTTATAAGCAAAATTTTAGTTGATTTCAATCACTTAAATAGTAAAAAGGGCAGTTCGATGCACGAAGCATCTTGCGTTTCACGTAGGGTCCGAGAAAGGCCGCACCGAGAGGGATGTGATGTAGGCAACCTACTCGGATGCAAGCATTAGTGGCTGACTCCATGACTCGAACCCGTTGCTAACTTTACCGTTGCTCCAAGTCTCCCCTTCAATCACTTAAGTATTGAACAAATCAAAACAAACTATAGGACAAATTGGAAAAGTACAATATAAAAGTTTTTACCTAGAAACCAATATTAAAATAGCAAGCATTCTCATATTAAAATTCTAGGAAGAAAATTAAAATAGTTTCCAACTTACAATCTCAATTCATATTCTGAAAAATGTCTTGCTAGCTGTTATTATAAGATTTAAATCTAGAGAACATGAACACATAATGTCTAGTCAAACAAAAAAAAAATTCAAGATTTATATATAGCGTTAATTGGAGCATCTCCTTGGAAATCCTGGAGTGATCTCTTGTGTAAATAACGACAGACAATCCGTAATTGAACTACTAATTTCTTCGAATTGTATTTCCCATTTAAATCCACTTTGAAAACTCGATATCCACTTGTAGAAGTACTCATCTCCTTAGCAACCTCATCGCCCTTTATTTTGACGGACAAATTACTGAAAGTCACTTGTATCGACGTACACTCTTCATTCTGTTGATGATAAAGGTCTAACGTATATACCCAAAGAGTGCCCCTGTTGCAAATCTCTGATGATACTTCACTCTAGCATAACCCCCCCCCCCCCCCCCTAATTTTTGTGATCTAGTTTGACTAGACATGGAGTTTGAGAAAGAAAGATTTTTGGAATTTTGTGGGAATATGCCATGAGAAAACTCCTCTGAGCCAAGGGTCTATTGGAGACAGCCTCTCTACCTTCATAAGATAGGGGTAAGGTTGTGTACACACTACCCTCCGTTGACCTCACTTGTGAGATTACACTAGGTTTGTTGTTGTTGTATGCCATGAGAAAACTGTGACTAAAAAATCATACCATTAAGGGTAAATGGGACCTTTAAAATTAAATTGTTCCTTAATGTTACCATTTTCAAAAAAAAATTAAATTATTCCCAAATATAGAAATGTGTCATTTAGTGGGAAATAAGGCCACATAAATGAAACCGAGGGAGTAAATATTACGCTTTCCCCTAGTCATTGAAGAATAAACATTCTCTCTTGAAACCATAGAAGTCAAAACCTCATCCAAAAAAAACCCCATAGAAAAGCTTTGATATATGCTCAACTGCTCACAAACATCATTCTGTGAATTTCTTATGCTAGTGAAGACTCTTCAGTCATGCACCTGAAAATGTTTTTCAGCCTCCTGTAGACGAATTTTCCACAAACAAGAATGATAAAATGCAGATAACGCGAGGATCTTTTGTTGTGTTTTTTTTGTGGCAGTGGTGACACAGATGCTGTGATTCCAGTTACATCAACTCGTTACAGCATTGATGCTCTAAAACTGCCAACAGTTGGTCCCTGGCGCGCGTGGTATGATGATGGACAGGTATTTTCGTTGCTCAATCTTGTTGTCCTTTCCGTTTTGAGTCTTCTAGAAGTACCTCAAATTCGATCTGTCTATAGCTCGGAAATTACAGAAACAGTCTTCTACCTTCACAAGGTAGGAGTAAGGTCTGCGTACACATTATCCTCCCTAGACCCTTCCTAGATCCCACCTGTGGGATTACACTGAGTTTGTTGCTTTTTGTTGTATAGCTCGGGAATTGCTTATTTCTTGAATTAGTATCAATTATGATCGCGTCAAACTACTAACATTCTATGCTTAACGGGGTAAAACAGGTCGGAGGATGGACACAAGAATACAAAGGGCTGACATTTGTTACTGTAAGAGGTGCTGGCCATGAAGTCGCTCTGCATAGACCGAAACAAGCTCTCACTCTTGTCAAGTCATTCTTAGCAGGAGCATCAATGCCTAGCGGCGAACAAATTAGTGACTCTTAGTTCTGTCTTTTCTTTTTCTAAGCTGATGCTTGTTTATCTTGAGCTGGAGAAAGCTATATTTAGATGAGCAAAAACAATTGTTACATCAACTGCAGCTACCTGCTCGATATTTATTAAAAACTCACTCGTTGCCATGCTTTCTGAGTTGTAAGAGTTTATCAAGATTTATCTAATGCAAGCATGAGCTTACCTTCCTTTTATTTCATCAGGCAGCTGAAAATGGAACCAAAATTATGTTTTGATTTATATTACCTATCTTTCTGAGCCGATGGTCTATTGGAAACAACCTCGTTACCTTCACTAAGTAGGGGTAAGGCCTGCGTACACACTACCCTCCCCAGACCCCACGTGTGGGAATATACTTGGTATGTTGTTGTTGTTGATTTGAGAATGAATTCTAGTTCTCTTGCCATCCCAACCGGTCATCTTTTTGGGGGAAGTGCACAAATAGCCGTTTTTAACACCGTTATTTGAGGAATAGTCAAGTTTACCAAAAGTTTAAAATTTAGCCGCCTCTTCAAACTTCAAATCGTCGAATATGAAGCTTGAACTACAGAAATTGGCCTCTAACAGAGGCTAACTTCATACCATTGACCTTTGAAATGGTGTAAAGTTTTGTGTTACGTTTAGCTGTATTTTTGTCCAAATTCTATTTACTTATTACAAAGTGGACAAACTTTAAATAATTTTAAAAAGCGGCTATGTTTTAAATGGTGTCATCACAAGCGGCTACCTGATTTTTTCTACTTTTTCTGTTGTTTAACCGTAGGATATTCGGGACGTACTAGTTCGACTAATTCAGATTTTAATAGACCAATATTACACGTTCTACTTAGTTTATTTTATTCAAGTTCTACTTAGTTAGTTCCACAATGATTACACGTTTAGCACAATATAAATCCAACACCAAATTGTAAATGCAAAATTTTAGTCGATTTCAATCACTTAAATAGTAAAAGGGGTAGTCCAGTGCACGAAGCATCTTGTGTTTCACATAGGGTTCGAGAAAGGTCGCATCCCAAGAAATATGATGTAGGAAACCTACTCGGATGCAAGGGTCGACCCCGTGACCTATAGGTCACACGGAGTTAACTTAACTGTTGCACCAAATCTCCCCTTCAATCACTTAAATATTAAACAAACCAAAACAAACTATAGGACAAATTTGGACAAGTACAAGAATTTTTTTACCTAGAACCCAATATTAAAATAGTAAGTATTCTCATATTAAAATTCTAGCTGTTATAATAAGACTTAAATCTAAAGAACATGAACATATAGTGTCTAGTAAAAATAAATAAAGATTTATATATAACGTTAATTGGAGCATCTCTTTGGAAATCTTGGTGTGATCTCTTGTGTAGTTGAGGACGACAATTGGTGGATCTTCACATCTCCACAATGAATTTCTAATTTCTTCGAATTATATTTCCCTTTTAAATCCACTTTAGAAACTCCATATCCACTAGTAGAAGTACTCATCTCCTTAGCAACCTCGTCGCCCTTTATCTTGACGGGCAAATTACTGAAAGTTATTTGCATCGACGTACGCTCTCCTTTGTGTTGATGATAAAGATCTAACGTATTCACCCAAAGAATATCTCCCTTGTAGGAAACTGAAACCACCATGCTTTTGTACTCAACTTGACGAGGAGCACGATTCTCGACGACGAAATTGATAGTCAAGTTTTGAGCATCAAGGGATGAATAATAAGGGGTTAATGATGATGAGGAAATATCAATGTTAGAAGCTGTGATTCCTTCAATTGAAAATTGTGGATATTCAAAAGAAGCTTTATGGTATTCGGATGTCCAAATAAAACCAACCATCAGACCAACCAAGAAGACCACAGAAAATACAATTATTACTACTAATAAATCATCAGAATCTTCAATAAATTTTTGTCCATTGGATGGTTTATTGTTGCTTTGTTGTTTCTTTAAACCCATAATTTGGCTATTTTTGTCACAAGTTTTGTGAGGGAATGGTTCTGGGTCGATCCTCATTGAAGGAGAGGATCAAGAATTCACGATAGTATATATTTCTAAGGTTTAAGAGAACTAAATTTAAGGGTTAAAGAGGTTATATATATATATATATATATATATATATATATATATATATATATATATATATATATATATATATATATATATATANATATATATATATATAGTTTAGGGGCGTCAAGACCGGGTTCCTACTTTTTCTTTTTGAGAAAGAAGAGGTTACTGGATAAGCGAAAGAGATGCCGAAAGAGCAGATGCTTTTATTTGAAACAAAAGCATTAGCCGAGACATACCTCCCGCTAAAGAACACTATTGACAATGGGGTCCGGGAGGCCCTCAAAAAAAGCGATAGAGCAAGAAAGAAAGAAAGGATCAAAACATCACGGGCCGCACGCAAAAGAAAAGAGAGGATAGCCAGAATTGTATTGAGGCCGCTGTTCCTAACTCCTCCCCGGGTAGTTCCCAATGTTTGGCACTTTCCATACTTCATGGGTGCAACATCAACAAATTCGCTCATGATCAAGTTACAACCTAAGATCTATGACCATATTATGTTAACTGTTCGTATTTCGTTCATTCCATCGGTATGCTCCCAGGTACCTGTAATTGTGATCCGTTTGCCAGAACCAAGGGGTCTTTCTGTAGAAACCTCCACGAACAATCGTCGTTTTTTGATGGTTTTCCGCTTCTCACAGCTGCTCATATATATATATATAGAGTTCTGCGTAGTACAAATCCTACTTTGAATAGAAAATAGAAAACCTATTCCAATATGAATCTGACTAAAAACCTATTTAGATATTAAATTCTAGAAGGGGAGCGTTGGTTCTGGCAACGGATGATAGAGCAACGAAACGAAGAATCGAGTAGGCATATTGCGCACTGTCTAGTAAAATGCACATAACTTTTCGCTCAAAACTCCATTTGGGTTCCACAATATATAGTTGGAAAGCTAACTCAAAGGGATACAACTTTCATGTTTTACATTTTTCCAAATTCCAAACAAAACAGGGTGAAAAATACGCGAAACAGTAGACTTGCAAAATGCCGCGCCCGGGCAGCGACCGCGAGCGTCCAGACTCGAAAAATTATCCTTTTTCGTGTAGGAGAAGGTATAATTGTTTGGGCCCGACCCTACTTGGTATATATACATGGAAAATGGTATTTTGAGTAGGTTAGATATTTTTTTGACATAATTTAGACCTAAGGAGGCTAAGGAGACCGGAGATTCGACCTAAGGAGGCAAGAATACATTAGGAGCAAGGCGGATAATTCTTCCACGAGTTTTTCACTTTCTTCTTCTTATTTCTATTATTGGTTATAAATTTTAGTATTGTAGTTTTACATACTATTGTGAATAGCTAATTTGTTATCTAGGGTTTTGATGGAACCTTTTGTAGGATAAATTCTTGTTATGTTTTTATATAATTGAGCTGTAGTATTTTCTCTATTTGTTCAACTATATTATTCTTGTGGTTGATTGAAGGGCCCTCAATTAGCTGTGCCTATTTAGTATGTATTATTCGGGAGAGAGTGCATATTTAGGTAGTTGTTGAACAACATCACTCCCGACGAATGTGAGGAATCAATAACCAAGGGTTTAAAGGTGGGATTAGGGATAACGAAACCTTGGGTGCGATCTAAGTGAGCTGTAATTAAAGCCAGCTAGCGTAACTCGGGAAAGTATGTCTAGTAAATTGTCGTATTTACTCGGGAGAGAATTACAATACGCATAGCGCTCATGATCGGTAGAGAATACTTAGGTGAAATTATAGAAGACATAGCGTGAAGGATTCCGAAAATTGAGAAAATCACTAGACCTCCTTAATTTTTTCTCCAACCTGTAGTATCTTTAGTGTTAATTTATTATTTTAATATGTTAGTTAGTTAGGTAAACACAAGAATCTTAATATCTATAAGTTAGGAATTGTTCAAGCTTGTATTCTTGGTGATAGTGAACAACTAGAGCTAAGCCTTAGTTCTCTGTGGGATTCGACTCCGGACTAGTAAACCGGATTATAATTGCAACGACCGCTTTGTCCTTTTTATAAGGCATAGTTGGGCGTGATCAAATTGATTCCGACAATTGGGGAAATCATAACTCTAGACATCCTTAATCTTTTCTCCAACTTTGTTTATTTTTATTCT